ATGTTATCCAACACGATCATCGACTTTATGGGAAAAATACAAAAACTATATGACTGAAGATATTCTGCACCGAATAAGACAGACAACTCAAAATCAAGATCTAGATTACACGCCAGAAATGTATAACGAAGCATTAATGTTGATTGAGGATTCATGTATTCTAATTTCTAATTTACCACTTGCTCATTATGGTTTGCCGTCGCCTAATCGCCCGGCCATCGACTTGGTTAACACTGATGTTCTGCGAGAAAAACAATATAATAACGTTGAATTAGCTGCATTTGTTACAAATAATGAACCTCTAATGACAGCTCAACAAAAAAATATTTATACTCAAATTATGATGGCTGTTGATGCTAAACAAGGTGGCTTCTTTTTCTTAGATGCACCAGGTGGAACTGGTAAGACATTTTTAATATCTATTATCTTAGCAAAGATACGATCGCAAGGAAAAATTGCTCTAGCAATTGCAACGTCGGGCATTGCGGCCACTCTGTTAGATGGTGGGCGAACGGCACATTCAGCACTCAAGCTGCCATTAGACATTCATAATAAACCATATGCAATATGTAACATAAAAAAAATAAGCGGAATGGCTACAGTAATGCGAAACAGTTCGATAATTATTTGGGATGAATGTACAATGGCCCACAAACATGCATTGGAAGCATTGCATAGAACTTTACAAGATTTTAATGGCAATGACAAACTATTCGGTGGTGCTGTTTTACTATTGTCTGGTGATTTCCGACAGACATTGCCAGTTATTCCACGCTCTACTTTTGCCGATGAAATTAATGCGTGTTTAAAACAGTCATTTTTATGGCAAAATGTCGAAACAGTTCGATTGACCATTAACATGCGTGTGCAATTGCAAAACGACTCATCAGCACAAATATTTTCTGAGCAATTGCTGGACATTGGCAATGGTAGAATAACATTGCATCCAAATACACAATGCATTAAATTGCCAGATAACTTCTGCACATTTGTCGAGACAAAATCAGAATTGATCGAAAAGGTTTTCCCGGCTATACTGAATAATTACACAAACCACGATTGGCTTAGTGAGCGTGCAATCTTAGCCGCAAGAAATGTCGATGTCGATGAAATTAACTTCCACATACAGCAGTTGATACCGGGTGATATGGTATCGTTTAAGTCGATCGATAGTGTTGTTGATGAAGACGAAGCTGTACAATACCCAACAGAATTTTTAAACTCTCTGGATATACCAGGAATGCCACCACACAATCTACAGTTAAAAATTGGATCACCGATTATTTTATTACGTAATTTGAATCCACCCAGACTATGCAATGGTACACGTTTGGTCATCAAAAAAATTACCGGAAATATTATTGAAGCAACCATTTTAACAGGAAGATTTAAAGGGGAAATTGTTCTATTGCCACGTATCCCAATGATTCCGTCAGATACCACATTACCATTCAAAAGGCTTCAATTTCCTGTTCGATTAGCATACGCAATAACCATTAACAAGTCTCAAGGCCAGACAATGTCCGTTTGCGGTTTAGATTTAGAAAATCCATGCTTCTCCCACGGTCAACTTTATGTTGCATGTTCACGGGTTGGTAAACCGTCAAATTTGTTTATATTAACTAAAAACAAATTAACTAAAAATATTGTACACCAAATAGTACTCAATTAAATATTATTATCTATATAACTGTTTGGAAAAAAAAAACAACCTTTAATACTAATTCATTTTTTAAAAATGTTCGAGTTTCAGTTAAATAAACAATAATATCAACAAACATTTTTTTGGTCGTTCATCATTGAAAAATTGTGTTCAATGATTATCTCCGATAACTCAGATTCAAAAATTTTATAAGTATTTGCATGGTTATGCTACATATTTGAAAATAATATATTAATATAATATTATATAATAATATATTATATTAATCAAGCCACACCCAAACGTGGCCGGGTCAGCTATTTATGTATAAAACAATTTAAANTCTACAGTTTTAATGCACTGCTGTCCTATGCAGAGGATTCAATGAAATAGAGAATATCAGCTCAGATAACCAAGTCAATGTACAGCTCATGTGATCCATAAAGAGGCAGCTCAGCTAAACATCAAGGAGTATCCAAACACCAGAGAGAGTATTTGTTATATCCCTTAGCTCATAAGGCGACAATTGCGTTTTAAATATATAAATTAATTATTTAAAGGTTATGTACTTTATTTTAGGTTAAGTATTATCGGTCCACATGATCCTTATAAGCTATTGACGCCAACCGTTAATTTAGGAGTGTCATGGCGCAACAGGCATAAAAGTTTGGTTTGTTCTTGCAGTGTAATAAAAGGTGAAAATCTGAAAATTGCTATTTTATTAAATTTAATGCCGCTTAAGAGAGTTTACAAACCCACCAAACCCAAACATTCAATCAATTTAAAATTTCAATTTTGAAATTATGTTTTAATTATAATAGATAAAATAAAAATATACATAATCTTATATATATAAAATCTAATGTCAGATTTTTGTCCGCGATGGACGCCGAAACTACTGAACCGAATTTTATGAAATTTGNGACGTTATTAGACGCTAATGCTAACAATAGCAAATGATATCTTTACAAAAACATAAATGTGAAAAAGTGCTAAATTATATAACACTCTTCACTAAAAAATGGTAGCACAGTGGGGTCGTGGTTCAGAGAGATGTGGCATATTCGGAACAAGTATAGATTAAAATCACTATCTTAAGGAAACGCTTTGATGCAGACTTGTAGATAGCGTTTAATTTTAATATTTTTTGATATTATTACTAATTAATAAAAAAAAAACCCAGCACAGGGGGGTCGCGGCACAGTGGTGACGTGGCATAGTTGGATCAAGTATAATGATATCTGACAGTGATTAAAATCACTATTAAAAAAAAACGCTTCGATGCAAATCTTTAGATAGTGTTTAATTTTAAAAAATTGGTGGATTATTCCAAAAGCTTCATAAACTGCTAGTTCCTTATTAATATCCTGATTAAGA